AAAGAAGCCAGCAGACTACTCTCACTTAGCTGCCATCCAACTGCCACCAACAAGAGATGCCAGGCACGAACTGCCCAGCTGAGCCCATCAACCCCGAAATAGTAATAAATTGTTGTTTTTGAGCCATTAAGTTCCGAGATGGTTATTACCCAGAAAAATATAACTGGATAGGAAATTTAACTGGTGTTTTAATTTATAATTTTCTGGGTTACCAGAAAAGTATGGTTGAATTCCCTAAACAGGAATTCTAGATCAATGGTATCTAATACATATTCTGACATATTCTAAATATGTTCACTGATGGTTTCTGAAAACACACAGAGTGACACTTCACCCATTCACGTATTCATTCGACCAATATTTATTAAGTGCCTGTTATGCACCAGGCACTGGGCATACAACTGTGAATAAGACAGACATGGTATTGGCGCCAGATTTCTTCCATACTAATTCATTAGTAAATAATGATAAAAATAACTAATGTTCATTAAGCACATACTACATGCCAGGTATTGTTCTAAGCCTATTGCACACATCATCTCACTTAATCTTTAAAACAACCCTACTATGTAGGTACTTTTATGAGCTCATCTCTTTTACAAAGGGGGAGACTGAGGCACAAGAGGTCACACAGATGGCAGTGGCAGCATTTTAAACCCAGTCAGTTCAACTCTCAGCCCCTACACTACATGGCCTCATCCACATATAATACCGATCTAGCAGGCATCAGGGCCAAGGAGCAGTTTAGTTTGGATCAGACCCTGAGATGGATGGCATGTCTTTTTCCAATAACGAAGACAGTTGGATAAATATAGCAGAGTGTTCCAGCTGGCGCTTCTCTTCCAGATAGATCACAAGCGATCCTGAAGCTACTTCCAGAGATGGTGCTTGACAGTCGACCTCCTCCCTCCTGCACGTCTCACATTATTGCTGGCTGATCACATCATCCATGCATGATTCTACCACATGAAGATCTTGAGCCACGGTCACAGATTAAATTTCCTATCCAGTTATATTTTGCTGGGTAGCAGCCATCTCAGAACTTCATGGCTCAAAAACAACAATTTATTACTATTTTGGGGTTGATGGGTTCAGCTGGGCAGTTCGTGCCTGGCATCTCTTGTGTGGAGGCGGCTGGATGGCAGCTGGGCTAGAGTAGTCTGCTGGCCTCTTTGCGTACATATCTGTCTCTTGAGCTGGTAGGGATGGCACAGCTGAGGCCTTGGTGCGCATCTCTTTTTCTCTACATCGCTTTTCCTTACGGCCGCTTGGGCTTCCTTACGGCTGCTTGGGCTTCCTCACGGCTGCTTGGGCTTCCTCACAGCATGGTATGTGAGTAATGAGAGACCTACTGTGTGCTACAGAGGGACCTGCTGTTCTGAACTGAGTCAGTGGTACAACCCCCATGGCACAAGGAAAGAACGGGAGCTCTGAGCATGCACCGCGTATGAGATGTATCTGGGCCTGAAGCTAGCTGCACACATTGCTATTTTGCCCCATGGGGGTTTCAAAGTTGTTTTTAATTGTTACATGAAAAAAACATCCACAATTTACCAAGAAAATGAATTTTTACTTTCTCTTTAAACACCAGAATATCTGGCCACTGTAGGCTGGAGCTGAGTGGTGGCTGGCCCTTTGATGGGGCAAGAGAGCTCCAATTTGCCATGGGCCCCACCTGCCCACTTATTTATGTAAGACACTCAGAATGGTAGTGCATAGCATACGGCAGGCACTCAATAACTGCCAGCTATTATTATTGACACCCAGAGCTTGCTGGCTCTCTCCAGCATACTGAGTCTCCCCACCACCAACTAAATCCCAAGGGGAGGCCTCACCCCTGCTGGCTAGTCCCTTTGTGGTCCTAGGGTACCTTTCTGGGGCTTGGGCTCAGGATAGCCTCCTCTACCTCAGGGGTCACCTTTGATAGAAAGTGGTTGGGCTGGTGGTTCAGAGTGTGGGCTCAGGAACCACACTCTGCGAAAGAATCCTGGCTCTGCCCTTCACAAGCTATGTTTCCTTGGACAACTGTCCTTCTCTTTCTGAGCCTCATATGAGAAGCAGGCTTCCTGATAACAACGTCCCCCTCCACAGGGTCATGAGGTTAAATGTGTAGAAATATGGTCAAGTTCTCAGTAAATGTCAACTCTTACTATTATTATTTAATTTTGATATTTAATATATATCTTATGTACAACTATAGATCCTTATATGATATTATTTGACCTTTTGGCCCAATATATCTTTCAGCCAGTCAAGCTAGTAATTCTTCCTTTTCTAAAAATTTAAACTACTTCATTGAGGTGTGACTGATATAGAAAAAGCTGTACATATTTAATGATGTACATAACTTGATGAGTTAGCAGATGCATACACACCCATGAAACCATCACCACCATCAAGGCCATAAATTGATCCATTACCTCCAAAAGTTCCCTCTCACCCCTATATTTATTTATTTAACAAAATTGTAATATAATAATTCCTTCTGGAAGTCTTCCCTAAGTATACCCACCTAATTCACTCAGTAACTATTCACTGAGCAGTCTCCAGGCACCAAGCCCAGACTGGCACCAGAGTTGTGCTGAGACACAGAACACAGCCTTCCAGGTCTGGGAGCCCATCGTGTTGGGACAGAAGTGCTACAAAGGGCCTGTGAGTTCTCTGCATGTACGTGTCCAAGGCCACTTTTTCTAGTACTCTGTCTTTTTCTGTTTCCTGTCTAATGACACAAACCGTTTCACCACAGGGAAAACTCAAAAGCGCTGAAACCAGACAGGCTCAATTTTTTAAAAAATCAGGGTGTAATTACACTAGCAGTAATTTTTAAAAAACTAAATTTAAACCAAAACTCCCAACCCTGTTGAAATAAAAACAAACAACAAATCTTTCTAAGTAATGTAAGTAAAAGAAGAATTCAAGGCAAGAATCACAGATGAGATAAAAATGAAGGCATCATGGTGCAATCGCTTAGGAAAACAGTCTGGTGGTTCCTTTAATGGTTCAACAGAGTTAACCATATGAGACCCAACATTCCACTTCCAGGTACACACCCAAGAGAACTGAGAACATATGTTCAAAGACTTATATATGAATGTTCATAGCAGCATTATTCATAAGAGCCAAACAGTGGAAACAACCCAAACGTCCATCAACTGATGAAAGGATAAATAAAATGTGTATAACCACGCAGTGGATATTGTTCAGTCAAAAAAAGTAATGAACCACATAGATGAACCTTGTAAATATAATGCTAAGTGAAAGAAGCTAATCACAAAAGACCACACAGTGTATGATTCCATTTATTTGAAATGTCCAGAATAGTCAAATTCATGGAGACAGAAAGCTGATTACCGGTTGCCAGGGGCTGCGGACTGATGGGGGGAAATGGAAATGAGTGCCAATGGGTACTCAGCTCCTTTTCAGGACGATGAAAATATTCTGAAATTGACTGTGGTGATGGTTAACACAACTCTATGAATGTACCCAAAATCAATGAATTGTACACTTTGTGGTACGTGATGTGTACCTCAACAAAGGTATCAAATAAATGAAGACAGAATAAACCAAAGCTCCCAAATAAGTCAATCGACACATTTATATAGCAAAATAAATTACAGGTAGATTCAAAAGTTCATTGTTAACATTCAAATGATAAATGGCAAAAAGGAAGAAAATATAGCTGCTCTGTGACCTGTGGATGGAGAAACCCTTTCACAGCTTAAAGATGAAGAAAAACACCCCAGTGGGAGAAACCAACAGATTTGATTTTAAAAATATGAAATGCTTTTTTCATATTTTTATGAAAAAATAAGGCAAAATAAAGAAACAAAAAGCAAATCTGGGAAGAATATTTGCAACAAATATTTACACACACACATTTACTTCTGTAAAGTCTTTAAGGCACACTCAGATTCCTGTAGACTGGTAAAGCACAAGATGGATCATTTCCCTGCCCACAGAAATGGCCAGTAAACATTTTCTAAGACTTGAACTTCACGAATAATACAAACAATGCTACTCAGAAAGAAATCACTTGGCACCACTTGTGCCCTATCAGGCTCATGGTTTATAGCTTTCATATCCATTTATCACTGATTATCATGGTGCAATATTACACCAGTCTAAATATATCGAACATGCAGAATAAATGCCTGACAACAACCATATAAACCAGCGGAGACCTGCTCAGACACGCTGGTGGGAATACCTACCGCCATAACTGATTTGGAAAGTAGTATCAAAATACCTCAAAAATACCCAACCCAATCTTCCTCTTCAAGGAACTGCTCCTAAAGAAATCATACAAGACACAAGGAAAGATTTACGCCCAGTGTCCCTCACGACACTGTTTATAACCAAAAAAAGAATACTTGGAAACCAATAAAGGTCCAACAACAGAGGAACCATTAAGTAAACCAGGGTATGGCCACTGAACAACACTTTTATGTGGTCATTAAGATGGATGTTACAAAGGAGTTTTTAATGATATGGAGAAATGCTAAGGATGAGATCTCTGATGAAAAAGCAATCTTTAATATTAAAATTGCTTAGCCAGACTCAAACATTCCAGAGTGATTATCTTTTGGGGTAAAATCATGGGTGAATTTGTGGGCCTCATTCCCATAAGCTTTTGTACTTTCATCACACATGTAGGCATCCACAAGGAGCATTTAGTGTGTCTGCCCATTTTAAAGGTGACACATCCAGCATGAGTTTTTTCACTCAGTGTCACATATCTAAACCACCACTTCCCACAGGTGCCCACCTGTGTCTCCTGAGAGTCCAGAGAGCTAGTTTGGCCATTCCAAAGCCTCCCTGTCCCCCACAACTGACCCCACAGCCAGGATCAGCATCATCTGTAAGCACAGCCCTCCTCATCAGGACAGACACAGCCCCAGAGGATGGGACTGGGGGCCTTGGAGAGGGTTCGAGCAGCAGAGGCTCACCCAAGGCAGGAATCCAGCCTTTGGAAAGGAGAGTGACAGAGCAACATGACTCACCAGTGCCTCATCAGTCAGCAGCTGAGCAGCCATCCCTCTGCTGCCCACGGTGAACAGGAAGACAGGCCTAGGGGGCCAACAGGGCTGTAGGGAGAAGACAGATGGAGGCATGCTGAGAGACCAGGTCTAGGCTGGCCTCACATATGTAGACGGGACAAATCACACACACTGAGAGACAAGCAGAGAAGACAGACAGACACACATACACACACACCAACAGTGAGTATTTAGAGGGCTTACTGCATGTAGGGTACTTGAATGTATCTCACTTGATGTTCTAACCATCCTGGAAGGTAGGTACTACGTCTACTCACCCATTTCACAGATGAGGAGACTGGGGCCCAAGGAGATTAAACCACTTGCTCGAGATTACAAAGCTGGGACTGGAGTCAGGCAGAGTATGTCTAGGTCCACATGCTTAGTCACTAGGCTACAATGCCTCACAAATGCACTCCCATGCACACTCCTACAGATACAGTCAACACACATACACTCACACACATTCCCACAGGCTGCTGAGGGCCACCAGACACCCTGCCTTCTCCCAATGGCCCTGCCCGGATCCCTCCTTGAGTGTGAGTGCTGGACCGAGGCCCCCTGAGATGCCCCCGAACCACCTGTGGCCTCTTCGGGCACTTCCCCCAGACTTCATGGGGTTACCATGAGGTTCAACTAGCAGATATGAGTGTAAGGAACTTCCACCCAGGGGCTCTCAGAGCCAGATTCGCCTGGAGAAATGCAGCTTGGTTCAATTATCTTTCAGTTCCCCTGACAAGCTCAGGACAAAGTCTCAAGTGGAGAGGTATCTTAACATTCCTGCAACCCCTCACTCACCCCTTGAAACAAAAGAAAAGCAGGAGAATAAGATCCTGTCTTCTGCAACAACATAGAGGTCATTATGTTAAGTGAAATAAGCCAGGCATAGAAAGACAAACTTTGCATGTTCTCACTTACTTGTGTAAGCTAAAAATTAAAACAATTAAACTCATGGAGATAGAGACTAGAATGATGAAGAAACCAAAGGCTGGGAAGGGCAGTGGAGTGGTGGGGGGAATGTGGGGATGGCTAATGGATATTAAAAAAACACAAAGGGTTGCAGTGAGCCAAGATCGCGCCACTGCATTTCAGCCTGGCAACAGAGCGAGACTCCGTCTCAAAACAAACAACAACAACAAAAAACACAACAACAACAAAACACACACACACACAAAGAATAAATAAGACCTAGTATTTGACAGCACAACAGGGTGACTATGATCAATAATAATTTAATGATACATTTAAAAATAACTAAAAGTATAATCAGATTGTTTGTAACACAAAGGATAAATCCTTGAGGTGACAGATACCCCATTTATCCTGATGTGATTATTACACATTGTATGCCTGTATCAAAATATCTCATGTACTCCATAAATACATAAACCCACTACATACCCGCAAAAATTAAAAATTAAAATTAAAAAGAAAAGCAGGGTTCAGGACCCAAACTTAGGGTGACCATAATATCTCATTAGAACTAGCTGGCTTTACTTCCATTTGTTTTAATGTTTGTTTCCCTTCTTACAGCAAAACTCAGCTTCTTTTTACAGCAGTCACACAGAATGCCCTTTTAAACTAAGCCGATTTAAATTAAAAAAAAAAAAAAAAAAGGTGAGCCAATTCAAGTAAATAGGCAAAGAAAAAAAATAGGATGCATGGCACAGGTTAGGACAAATTCTTGGAGTTTGAGACATGTTGGCTCAGTCCTGGCTTCTCCTGTGACAGGGGGCTCCCTATCCATGCCACCAACACCTCTGACTGGAAATGAGTTTTTCTTCTGCTATAAACAGAAACATGCCTCTCTACATCTCCAGCCCTTCAGGATCACCCAGAAAAACCTCAGTCCTCTCCAACACAATACTCTTTTAGCTCAAAGTACCAGAATCACTAGGGATGCTTATTAAAATATCACTCAGAATATATACTCCTAACCCCCCTCCCAGATTCTCTGAATCAAACTACCTGGGTAGGGCCCCTGAATCAGTATTTCTAAACAAGTTTCCCAGGAGATTCTGACACCTCTGACAGCGTAAGAACCACTAAGACAAAGAAGAGCCTTTCTTAAGCCAAATGGCCCCAACTTCCACAGGTGAAAAGTAATTTTAATTGTAGGGGGGTATATATATATGGCCAAGTTGGCAGAAGCCTTTGGTACTCAACCGGGAACAATTTTGCCCCCCCCAGAAACATCTGTCAAAGTCTGGAGACATTTGCCAAATTGTCACAATTTGGCAGGGGAATACTATGGGCATTTAGTGAGTAGAAACCAGGGATGCTGCTGAACATTGTACAATGCACGGGACAAGCCCCACAACAAAGAATGATTAGGCCCCAAGGTCGGTAGTGTGGAGGCTGAGAAGCCCTGTTGTAGAACAAAATGATCACAAAGGCGTGGGCTCGGGCTTCCTACCACTTAACGCCTGCATACAGGCACCACACCTGGCCAACTGTAACCACTCACTGAAAACGTCCTCTGGGTTAAAACTCTTCAAAACTCTTCCTTGGCTTCCCCCACCATTAGAAATCACTCCATTAGAAATCATTAGAAGTCTTCACTGCCGCCCACACAGCCTTTACGATGTGCCCCGATGGCCTCTCCCCTTCCATCTCCTCTACTCCCCTCTCCCATGCTTGGCCCCAGGCCCCCTGGCCTTTGCATTTGCTGTTCCCTCTGGAGGGAGTGCTCTTCCCATGACTAGCCCCACTTCCTGCTCAGCTCCAATGTTACCTCCTTGGAGAAGTCCTCCACCCCCAATCACCTGACCTTAAGCAGCAACTCTCTCCCCCTCTATTTTCTTGCAGTACAAACCACTATTGACAACTGTCTTTTTTTAAATAGTTGTTTTCAAGTTTGTCATCTGTCTTCCCTCCATGAGAACAGAAGCCCCCAGGGAGCAGGGATTATCACTTTTAGATTGTATTTCTAACATCTAGGACAATGTCTAACACATAGGAGGCACTTAGACATCAAGCTGAACGAACAGATGAGCTAACTTCTAGTGCTGGCCAGGATTCAAAGGAACAGGCCCTCTCACACACTGGTGAGGGAATGTGAGTCGCTCAACATTTTTCTGGAAAGTGAGCTGGCAATACACAAATCCCATAACCCAGCAACCCTGTTCCTGGGAATCTGCCCACACTAATAAAGCTCTGTGTAAAAGTTACATATAGGAAAAAAAGATATTTATGGCAGCATTGTTTCTAGAGGGAAAAAAAAAACAAAACACCACACCCTGAAAACAAAATTAATAAAATTACTAAAGGAATCAAATCAATGGTAGGGTCTCCATAGTACGAAGTATCAGGTCGCCTCTGCGAAGCAGAGTTAGTTCTGCATCTCGCAGAGTTAGTTCTGCATCTGTTGACATGTCTGTGGTTTCACTAAGTGAGAAAAGCAAGTTACCCAGTTTTATGCATAACTTCAGCCCCTTTGTGAAAAAAATAAACCAACCCATGTGGATGTGGACACATCTGTACAGCGTTTTCCAGCCTGGGAAAGGCTGTGGAATGAGGCTGGGTTGGTATCTGGAGGGCGTGGAATGGGAATGAGAAAGGGGTAGGGGTTATTAATTATTTTTTATTTCTCTTCCTTTGAACTGTCTCCCTGGGTGTAGAAACCTCATATCACCATACACATTTTTGAAACGGAATTTAATTTAAAAAAATATATTCCTTGCAGATCAGTGGTCTCTTTCACCCGTGTCCTATGAGGTCAAGAACACTGGCCCATTTTGCCAGACCACAGCAGTGACTAGAGCCCACTTACCCAGTAGGCACAGAGCCTGGGGCCCATGAAACCTTTAGGGGCCCATAGGAAGGTCTTAATTTCTTTTAAAATCATAAGAAAAGATCTAATCCAGCCTAGAATACATTTGTCTTCCTATTAATGAAATAACAAAATGTAACTTTTAGTGCTTTAAAAAGCCAATGGAGCAAGAGGTCCATAAAGGCAAAGTACCCTTAAAAATCATACAGCAGCCCTGGAAGTGACTTGCCCAAGAGTACTTGCCAGTGACTGTTGAACCTGGTTTGGCCTTAGATCTGGATTCTTCTTCCTCTGAGCTTTTTAGCATTTCCTTCCTTTCTTCCATTTCTACTGTTTCCAAGCAGAGATTCCCTTGGGGAAAACCCTGCAACCTTGTGTCAGCTGAGCGGAAAGGGAAAAAAGGGATCTCCCATTTGTCTAGTGGTTAATTGTGGGGGCTGTGGAACCTGGATGCCTGAGGTAACCTTGGGTGAGTCACTTAGTCTGAGACTCAGTTTCCCTGTCTGTAAGATAAGGATGATGATGGTCCCTACCTCAGAGTTACTGGGACACCTATAAATGGCCAGCACTGGCTGCAAACACATTTTGTGAACAAATCAACCTCTCCTTGGTCAGAACGGAGTAGGGCACAGAGACCCTTTAGGAGTCTGATCCCCTTTTAAGAAGATCCTGTGGGAGGCAGAAGAAACAGCCTTTCTTTTCCCCTCCTCCACCCTGCCCCTGTCACTCCCAGGCCCCTATGCCTCCAAAGCTTTCTATGGGCAGGAAAAAGCCAGGGAACTGTGGCTGGGCAGACTAGGAGAAGTGGGGGGTGAGAAGGTAGTGGCTCTGCTAGGACCCCTTGTCCAGGCATACAGTCTTTGGAAGAGGCACACCCAGATGCATCCACCTCTGCAGAGTCACACACAAACATCAAGAAACACTCAGACACACGTGGACACACAGAGATAGGGAAAGATCCAGACAGGACTGGACCCTGGAGAGACACACCCCTACACTCATGCCAAGAGACATGCATGGAAAGACCAGACATAGTGGACACCCAGAGGGCACCCTCACACAGAGACACCCAAGGATAGAGATCAAGGCTGACACACCCACAACACCAAAGGCAAGGACACAGGCAGTCACTCAGAGATATCACCACACATGTATAGGCAGAGGCCCGGAGAGAGACAGCTCCACAGAGAGACCAAGACTCTGTAGAAGTGGGACAAACACACACACACATTACCACACATAACCCACATGGACACACATGGACACATACACATTCATTCACAGACCCAGCCTCTGGACAACATGCAGTTTTTCTCTCTCTCTCTCTCTCACACACACACACACTCACCATCTCCAGAGACACAGCCATACCCTCAGGACGACACAATCTGTCTCACACACACATACAGACCCACAAAGACACATTCACAATAGCCACAAAGGCTCAGCCTCATCCTCAGGATGATATGCACCACCTGTCTCTCACACAGGCCACCTTCCCCTCAGGATGGCCCTGGTGTCCATGCAACTTTCCTACCTCTAACCCAGTCACGCCTCTCCCTTCCTGGCCCAGGCCTCTCCTCAGCCCCTCAGCCTCCTCTCAGCCTCCCCTCGGCCCCTTAGCCTCCCCTCAGACTCCCCTCAGCCCCCCCTCAGCCTCTCCTCCGCCCCTCAGCCTCCCCTCAGCCCCCCATCAGCCTCTCCTCAGCCTCCCCTCAGCCCCTCAGCCTCTCCTCAGCCTCTCCTCAGTTTCTTCTCAGCCTCTCCTCAGTCCCTCAGCCTCTCCTCAGCCCCTCATCAGCCTCTCCTCAGCCCCTCAGCCTCCCCTCAGCCCCATCAGCCTCCTCCTCAGCCCTCAGCCTCTCAGCCCCTCAGCCTCTCCTCAGCCTCTCCTCAGCCCCTCAGCCTCTCCTCAGCCCCTCAGCCTCCTCAGCCTCTCAACATCCTCAGCCTCTCCTCAGCCCCTCAGCCTCTCCTCAGCCTCTCAGCAGCGTCCTCAGCCTCTCCTCTGCCCCTCAGCCTCTCCTCAGCCCCTCAGCCTCTCCTCAGCCTCTCAGCGTCCCCTCAGCCTCTCCTCAGCCCTCAGCCTCTCCTCGGCCCTCAGCCCCTCCCCTCGCCCCTCAGCCTCCCCTCAGCCTCTCCTCGGCCGCTCAGCCGCTCCAGGCGCCCCTCGGTCCCGGCCTGCACGCCCTCCCATGCGCCCGCATGCCCTGGACCTGCACCCAGACCTGCACTCCCCGTACCTGGGCCTGCACGCCCTCTCCCCGAGGCTGCGCCCTACCCGGGGCCAGGGTATGGCCCCCCACACAGGTAGTGGGTGGGTGGAACCCCGCAGCCACACTCACCCGCTCGCCGCTCTGCCAGGACAATGACCGCGCCCGCTAGGCCCGCCCGGCCGCAATGCGCCTGCGCGGACTGCGCCGGACTACGCTTCCCAGAAGCCCGCGCGCGCCACCTCCCCTCGGGCTTTTTCAGCCGAGCCCTGCCCCCCCAGTCGAGCGAAGCCGAGGTGAGCCAACTGAGCTCCTCTAGCTCCCAGAGGCCACCGCGGCCAAGGAGGCGGGGGCAAGAGGGAGAATTGAGGGGGAGGAGGCAGGGAAAGGGGAGGAGAGAGAACAGACGGAGGGAGGAAGGGTGGGAAGAAGGATGGAGGGAAAGGAGGGGCGAGGAGGAGGGAAGGGGGGAGGAGGGAGAAAAGAAGTAGGAGGGGTGGGAAGAAGGATGGAAGGGGAGAAGGGATGGGGAGGAGTGGGGAGAAGAGATAGGAGGGGGAGGGACTTGGGGAGGAGAGCTGGGGAGGAGGGAGAAGGAGGAAGAAGAGATGGAGGAGGAAGAAGAGATGGAGAAGGAGGAGGGGTTGGAAGAAGGGTGGAGGGGAAGGAGGAAGGGCTGGGGAGAGACTAAGGGAAAAGAACAGTTCAGAGAGAAGAACCAACAGAAAGAAGAGGGAGGGAAGTGGGAGGAGGGAGGGGCAGGGAGGCAGGAAAGGAAGAGAATGGAGAAGGCAAGGAGGAGGAAAGAAAGGTGGAAAGGGGGATGAGAAGGTGGAAAGAACTATAAGGAAGAAGAAAAGGGTGGGAAAAGGAGGAAAGAGAAAGTCGAGTTAGGGAGGGCAGGACAGGCTGAAGAGGAAGAGAGGAAAGAATGGGTAAGGAGAGGGAGGAGGGAAAATAGAAAAGGACAAGGGATGGGTGGAGGCAGATAAATGAGGGGAATAAAAGAGGTGTGTCACATCTGCTGCAGACATTTCTGCAGTCCAGCCAATGGACTGGACTGAGGGACCATCCCAGGCAACTTTAAACCTGATAATCATGCTTATTTGTAGAACATTTGCAAAGCATACAGATGTGCAAAGAAGACAATGAGCATAGGTGTAGAATAAAATGTATAGGAGACTATTGGGTTGGACTGAGTTCCTGCACTAGGCCCAACAGATCAAACCGAAATGGAGCTACTCATGCTGAAGTTCCAGGCCACCAACTCCAAGTTGTTATCTGACCTCCTCTCAGGAGAGAGAGAGAGAGAGAGATAATAGCCAAGTCCCAAACAGGCCAGTTTTAGCAGTCATGATAAAAGAAATCCCCTTTGCTTTAACCTTGACAGGTAAAGTAACTTTAAAATGCCCCATCCACTTTTGTTCTCTGTTTCTGCTTTCCTCAGCCCGTTTCTGTGTCTGAAGCCATATTCCTCTGCTTGGATCACCAGAACACTAGTTCTATTTTATAGAAAGAGGTGTGGCTGGATTCTAGAATTGCAAATAAAAGACAACTAAATCTTTAAACTAAATGTCAATTCCTTTTATCTTTAGATATAAGAAAAAAGCATCAATCCTTGTTGTTATGAGTTTCCTTTGTTCTGGCCCCTGGTCTCCACGCCTTATGATTTATAAACAATCTTCACAGCCAAGCTACTTTTCAGATGAGTTGGGTAATACAGACAGGGGAGCTTACACAAGAGGAAAGGTAGGAACCAGGCACCTGGCTGAGGCCCTTTTCTATAGTAAACCACAAAGCCAAGTTTAAAAACATTTGCTGAACGTCTAAGTGGCCACAAAACTGTCAACAGCAGCTAACCTTAGGTGGTGACTAATGATGTATTTAAGTGAAATCTTTTATTCAAAGATAAATGTGGATTTGTTCACGTCAAGTTGTAAAACATAATACAGAAATCATAGAGAGAGACCTATGTCTCTTAGGTAATTTCACCCAAGGGCAACATCTTGCAATATCACAAGTAGGATACTGATGTCAGTCCATTCAAGAGACAGAATATTTCCATCACAAGGATCTCTTCCAATATTTCCACAAGGATCCATCATCTTGCCCTTTTATAGCCACACTCACTTTCCTCCAGACTCGATCATTAGTCTGTCCTCCATGTACACAATTGTGTCATTTCAAGAATGTTATAAAAATGGAATCATACAGTATCTGAATGGTGGGATTGGCTTTTTTCATTCAGTACAATTCTCTGGAGATACATTCAAGTTGCTACATATATAGAACTTAATTATCTTACATAATAGAAGCTTTATACTCATTGAGTAACATCTCGCCTCCCCCAGTCCTTGGAAACCACCATTCTAATTTCTGTTTCTGTTGGGAGCAAGCCCCCAAAATTCTGGCCATAAACTGGCCCCAAAACTGGCCATAAACAAAATCTCTGCAGCACTATAACATGTTCATAATGGCCCTAACGCCCATGCTAGAAGGTTGTGAGTTTACGGGAATGAGGGCAAGGAATACCTGGCCCCTCCCACGGCAGAAAACCACTTAAAGGCATTCTTAAGTCACAAACAATAGCATGAGTGATCTGTGCCTTAAGAACATGCTCCTGCTGCAGTTAACTAGCCCTACCTATTCCTTTAAGTCAGCCCATCCCTTCGTTTCCCATAAGGGATACTTTCAGTTAATATAATATCTATAGAAACAATACTAACGACTGGTTTGCTGTTAATAAATATGTGGGTAAATCTCTGTTTGGGGCTCTCAGCTCTGAAGGCTGTGAGACCCCTGATTTCCCACCTCACACCTGTATATTTCTGTGTGTATGTCTTTAATTTCTCTAGTGCCTCTGGGTCAGGGTCTCCCCGACCTAGCTGGTTTCGGCAACTGGCGTCCATTCGTGGGGGCTCGAATTGAGGTCGAAGGGTCGCCGAAGCGATGGTTGGAATGGAAAACTAGCTGAAAGACACCCGAGTACTCTCAAAGCAATCCCCGTGGTGCGTAAGAAGGAGAGCTCGGAAGTGTCAGGGTAACAATGGGATAGGTGTGGGGTCTGGTTTGTTCTACCTTGGAACTTTTTCACACTGATGATGAGGAGGAACGAGACTGTAACGAAGTAACAGAAGAGGTTACAGAGCATGTTTATTTGCCAGCTAAAGCTCAAGCGGTAAAGGAAGGAGAGGTTCATCCCTACCCTTCTGCACCCCCTCCTTATTATTTTGAAGAAAAAGACCCTCCAGATCTTTCTTTTCCAGAGGACATTGGGTGAAAAGTAGTTGCCCCAGTGACTATTCGAGTGCACCTTAAGCGACCGCCCTTAGTTCTATTCAGGCAGGAATTCAGCAAGCTAGACCAGAGGGTGATTTAGAGGCTTGGCAGTTTCTTGTTAGAATACACCCCCCCCAGATCAACAGGGAAATATTGCAGCTACATTTGAGCCTTTTCCTTTTAAATTACTCAAAGAATTTAAACAAGCTATAAATCAGGATGGAGCAGGTTCTACTTTTGTAATGGGACTGTTAAAGAATGTTGCTGTTTCCAGTCGGATGATTCCTACTAACTGGGACGCTCTTACTCGAGCTTGTCTAACTCCTGCTCAGTTCTTACAATTTGAAACTTGGTGGGCAGATGAAGCTTCCATTCAGGCTGCTCGCAATGTCCAGGCCCAGCCTCAAATTAATATAACTGCAGACCAACTTTTGGGGGTTGGCGGCTGGGCTGGTTTAGATGCACAACTGGTCATGCAGGATGATGCCATAGAACAGCTTAGAGGAATGTGCATTAGAGCTTGGAAAAAAATCACTTCAGGTGGGGAACAATACCCTTCCTTTACTGCTATAAAACAGGGACTAAGAGAACCATACGTTGATTTTATAGCTCGGTTACAGGAGTCTCTTAAAAAGATGATTGCCGATTTGGCTGCTCAGGATATAGTGTTGCAGTTATTAGCTTTCGACAATGCTAATCCCGATTGCCAGGCTGCTTGCTCTGTGACCTATCAGAGGGAAAGCACATTTAGTTGATTATATCAAGGCCTGTGATGGTGTCAGAGGTAATCTGCATAAAACTACTTTGTTGGCACAGGCAATGGCAGGACTGAGAGTGGATAAAGGAAATACTCCATTTCCTGGAGCTTGTTTTAATTGTGGGAAGCATGGTCATACTAAAAAAGAATGTAGAAAAAAATCAGCAAGTCAGGCTGCCAGATAGGGGAAAAAAGAAAACTGCTGAGCCTGAAATATGCCCAAAATGTAAAAAGGGAAAACACTGGGCTAATCAGTGTCATCCTAAGTTTGATAAAGAAGGGAACCTGATTTCAGGAAATGCCATGAGGGGCCCGTTCTGGGCCCCATTCTAAACCGGGGCATTTCCAGCTCAGGCCATTCCCTCACCCCTGTACAATGTCTGTCTCCTGCCACAGCCAGTAGTGCTGCAGTAGATTTATGCTGCACAAAAGCTGTGAGCCTTCTGCCTGGGGAACCCCCACAAAAGTTCCCAACAAGAGTCTGTGGACCCTTGCCAGCAGGGACAATAGTATTACTTTTAGGAAAGTCTAGTTTAAGTTTAAAAGGGGTACATACATACAGGAGTCATTGATCCAGATTATAATGGAAAAATTCAAATTGTTATATCTACTTCTGTTCCCTGGAAAGCAGAGCCAGAAGAGCGCATAGTACAGCTCCTGATTGTGCCATATGTGGGAATGGGAAAAAGTGAAATTAAATGAACAGGAGGATTTGGAAGCACAAATAAACAAGGCAAAGCAGCTTATTGGATAAATCAAATTACTGATAAATGCCCTATCTGTGAAATAACTATCCAGGGAAAGAAATTTAAAGGTTTGGTAGATACAGGAGCAGACATTTCAATCATTTCTCTACAGCACTGGCCGTCCATGTGGCCAACTCAACCCGCTCAATTAACAGAGTTGGAGTTGGTAAAGCCACTGAAGTATATCAAAGTAGTTACATTTTGCATTGTGAGGGGCCCAATGGACAATCTGGGTCCATTCAACCAATTATAACTTCTGTACCTATAAATTTATGGGGAATAGATTTATTACAACAATGGGGAGCACAAGTTCTAATTCCAGAACAAATATATATCCCTAAAAGTCAACATACAATGCATGAAATGGGGTATGTCCCTGGTATGGGACTAGAAAAAAATTTGCA